CTTGAAACCTCAGCTGTTGTTGTGAGAGAACAGTTTCCTGTGGAAGAAGAAGAAGAAGTCGAAAAAGTTGGAGGCTGGGGCATGAAGTTTCTCAAGAAAATGCCCTTAGCTCGAGCCAAGGATGCTTCTAAAAATTCTAAGCTTTCGACAAGCATAGATGTTGTGATTCCTTCAGGGATTCACGGAGGGCCGAGAAATAGAAACGGTGGTCCTTCGAGCTTGATTCAGAGATGGAAATCCGGCGGGTGCTGTGATTGCTCTGGATGGGACTTGGGTTGCCCCTTAACCGTCCTTAAAGGCCGAGCGCGAAAAGACCAAAATGAAGGCCAATGCAATCTTTTTGAGCTCTTCACAGAGGTAGCACTCAAATCCAATTACCGTTTCCCTAACCATACATCATAGATTTCAAAAAACGGAAACATTCTTGCATTCCAGATGAGCCATCAACTAAAAATCAGTCTTTGTCATATTGACTCCGAAATTCGATTGATTCGTTGTGTGTTTTTATTTCAGGGAATGATGCAGGGAAGTCCTGGATTAAGGATCATGAATGTTCGAGATGGTCTCTTTTTCGTCCAATCTCAAGCAAAGATATCTGTTTTGCAATCTTTTTCAATTGCTTTAGCATACATTCATAGCCAAAGCCAGAGACTCCGGCCATGGTCGTCAAAGAAGTGTACAGAAGCTTAACTAGCAAAAGAAAGGATTGCACAAAGTAAGATGGGTAAAACTCAGCCTTCATAGTTTTAGTGGGTTCTTGAGTCTACAAATTAGTAGATATTTTGTGTTTATTTTTTTGGCTTTCTGTTTAAATCTATTTTTTATAGAAAGTATATCAGTGTCTCTTTACTGGAATCATATGTGGGCTTTGGTATTGTTTTTCAAAGAGCTGTGTAAAAGGTAAATTCTGACTTTTGATTTTGATTTTGACCATTATGATATCCTGGTTTTGTATTAGAGAGTTTCTTCTACAGTTCTGCTCACTACCTTCAATTTTACACAATTCAATCAACAGTAAAAGCTTTTAAGCCCTCAGAATCAGATCAAATGATTTCCATTGAAGTAAAACCAGAAACTGGAAAAACTAAACAAAATCTCTTAGAAACACAAGACTGAAATTTGTCTGAAGCTCACAAAAAGGTTGTGGTCTCTCTACTTAAAACACCCAAAACATCAACTATTTCGAGTATCACAGATACATAACCAGCAAAAGTGATAGATGATCTTGACTTAGACAATGGCATTAGCAGCACTAGCAATCCTTGGCCAGAGATCTGCACACTCTTTCCCAATGGGTCCAGTAATCGCAGAACCTGAAAACCAAAAAACAAAACCCCCACACGTTTCAGGAAACAATGTAATGCCAAAATGTGCTTGACAAATAACTAATTGAATAAACAAACTAGTACCTTTCATTTCTCCCTTAGGGTTCACAATCACTCCCGCATTATCTACAATCCAATAACCGAATCAGTACCAGTCTCATGTTTTCAAATCGAGAAATTGTTAAGATATGCAAATTACCTTCAAAGTACATGAAAACACCGTCCTTTCGGCGCCATGGCTTACGTTGCCTAACAATCACAGCAGGAAGAACCTTTTTCCTGAGGTCTGGCTTACCTTTCTTGACAGTGGCCATAACCATGTCACCAACACAAGCAGAAGGTAACCGATTGAGACGACCTTTGATTCCTTTGACCGAAATGATGTAAAGGTTCTTAGCCCCTGTGTTGTCTGCACAGTTCACTGTGGCTGCAACGGGCAGACCAAGTGACATCCTAAATTTGTTACCAGACGTTCCTCCACGACCTAATCAAATCAAACAACAAAACACAACCACCATTACAACAGTACTCAACAACATTTACCACTTTTGGTTTCAATAAAACTCATCTTCATTCAAAATTCATTACTTTTGATATCAAATGTTGCTAATGAGCTGTCTAGATGAAACCTATACGTAGACCTAAATCAATTATATCCTTTGTTGAAACCTAATTGAGTCATATTTCTTGGAATTGAAGAAATCGAGATCAAAGTTCCAATCTTTCAAGCATACAAAATTGAGAGTAGTAGATTGATTTCAATTATTTTAAATCTAACAGTCATGGAAGCTTCAAAAGCTTATTATACCAAAATGCAACAGCTACGACAGAAGAAAGCTTAGAATCGAAAAGACAAACCTCGCTTCGACATTTTCGACGGCTCAAGCTCTAGGGCTTCTGATGTGTTGTGGCGTCTGATCGAAGAAGAAAAATGACGGAGAAGAAGGGATTAGGGTTTAAACCCCAAACCTATGGAAAAAGGCCTTAAGGCCCATTATAGCCCATGAAGCGTTTCAATCATGAAATGAACAATACCAATAGGTATACAAATTTTTTTTGTCTTTATTTTTGTAACAATCTTCTCTACTTAATTATTGCTTTGAACCATAGTTTGCAAACACGTTATACAAATCCATAAATCGAACAACAAGACGAAAGAAGCTATATTACATAATGCTTTTCTTCAAAAAAGCTTTATTCGCTAACCAAACAAATTTTCTTAGTCTTGTTTGCGAGAATTGGCCCTCTCTTTGTTCTTTTTAGCAATTTGTTCAAATAAGCTTCCATCAAAGCAACCTCTCACAGCTTCTTTAGAAATGAAACCTTCCTCGTCCTTTGCGAGAATATAGAGTAGTATCCATTCAACTTTGTTTGAAAGCCTGCCATAACCAACACAACAAATCCGGCCGATTTAGTTTGGTTTTCACCGCTACCGCGCGCACATGTAAAATCAACTAATAACCAAAGAATGTTTTTGGCACTAACCATCCAAAAGGATCGATTGCCATTCGGTTTCCCTCGGTTACATTCCAAACCTCTTTAAAAGATAGCTTATCCTTAACCGTTAGCGCGTATTTGCTAAATACGTTCTCGAGGTTAACCGGGACATACCTACAAACAATCGCAATTTTACAAAATTCTATTTGAAATTGTTGCATATTCGATTTTACATATATGTTAATGTTACCTTCCTTCGGTGTCATAGGTGCTCGAATCACTCCCATGCTTGGCTTTGTGTATGTTGTCGATATAAACAGGCAATAATGGTGATGGCACCCAACTCTAATTTACATAAAATTCACAACAAAAATTAAATAACATATAAATCACAAAAATAATAATAAACTTAAAATTAAATTCGAAGGGTCTTTGGATTTATTTTCCATACCGGAAGTGTAACGTAGCTAAACGCTAAGTTTATGAGTAAGGTCCAAAAGATAGAGGAAATTGGGTTGAATCCGAGGTCACGAAATCCTGCAATTTTTATACAATCATTTGAAGTTCTTTTTTTTCTTTCTGAAGATTGAAGAGATTATAATTAATAAGTACCCTTATAAGTTTCCCAAGGATAGACAATTCCGTCGTCGTTTTGGTCGAAGAAAGCAACATGTTGTTGCATAACACTCATTCCTCTGCTGTCGTGACCTTCTGTTCCATTCGGATGCTCTGTATCTGGAGCTGCTAATGCTCTTGCCATATCTGTTTTCCATTTTTGTACGTTAGATTATTATGTATCTTTTTCAAGAAAATTACATTTTTTCTAAGTTATTGTAAGAACATGAACACTACAAATCTTGAAAGGTACACTTAATTTGAAACATGTTCATGTTCTCACAATAACTTTTTAAAAAATGGTTTTTTCAAATCAATATACGATTTATCATGCTAATTAGTGGGTTTTTTTAAAAAAATAAAAAATTTAACCACTTAATTTTGCGCTTTTTACACATTAAAATCTTAAATTTGGACAATCACACTTACATGGTTTTGGTAACGTTTCCTCCAAATCATTCCGTACTTTTCGCTGACTGGTGACGGGAGCTAACGGCGCCGTCGTGGCCAAAGCCTCTGCCTCTCCTGCCATACTCTCTTACTATCTTTGTCTTCTGTAAGTGTTAATAATTGGAGAGGCTCTCAGTTTTTCTTCTTATGCAGAAGACGTACACATTGATATTTTGGTTTTCGTGGTCTTTTATAAGTAAAACGATATAACAGGGATGATGTGTGGTAAAGGCCACGTGTCGTGACTTTGTGGTGTAACAACAATTTTAAAGAAAAACGAAGACGACAAGCAATATGATCACATATATTATGGTCCATCCACGTGGTGATTTTCAATTTGCTGGAACTAAATCCACTTTAAATCACGAGGAGGACGGTGGAAAAAAACAACGTGCTTATTTGTGTTATCAATATCATATTTCATATGCGAGAAAAACATAATTGAATGAGAAAAACAAAAGATAACATGAGAAAAACAAAAGATAACATCTCAGAATGATCCATACTCTTTCATTTGTACACCACTATGTAAAACAGTAGTTTTGATCCTTAATCAAAGCAATATTTTACAGCTTCTTTGGACAAAACTATCCTTCACAAAAATTAATTAATTACCCAATTAACAACACCATTATCAGTTAATAAAAGTTTCTATATTGTGTAGTGATTATCAAATCACCTAATTTGATTTTTTTGCTCGATCGATGGTTTTAAACCAACGGTGCCGACGTGCCCAATGTGTGAAAGTTTTAGGATTGAAGTTTATTGATTACAAAAGAGAAAAAGGACGAGTAATGTGAGTATGTGACCACATATTATGGTCCCATGAACCGATGCACGTGGCTGGGACCATTTGCTGATTTACGTGTGCGGTGGAAATAAAGCGGGATTAAGAGATACCAATGGATTGATGATTTCTTATATGTGACAGGCAAAAATAATATCTTATACAAATAATCAAAAATTAAGATCCTCTTCAAAAATTCATAAATTTACAACTTAACTAAAGTATTTAAATTACAAAAACATACCGCTGTCACATTCATGAATTACCATTTTTTCGCCGTTAATATTATCTCTGTGTGCTGATTGGTTACATTTTTTTTGTCACATGCTGATTGGTTACAGTGAAAAGTTAAAAGAGTGAATATGAATGGTACTTGTACATATCTCTTACGTAACATGCTGCGCATTCAATGCCAACTTTTGATTAGGTTTATTTTTGGTGTACCAAATTATAAATATCCATAAGCTGTTTAATATTATCGTCAGATAACATTTTTTTTTTGTCACACGTGAGACATTTATCAACGAATAATATTGCTCCCCAAATTCAATATTAAGACATGTCGACAAAAAAGAAAAAAAAAACCTAGCCTCCTTGAGACTTTCCAAGTTAAGAGGTTACTTAGTCCAATTTTGTGTATGATTTATTTGAGGGTTTCGAAGAGAATTTGGGGAAAGATATCCACCGTTGATTAAATCGAAGCCGAGCACAGCCGTTAATTTTGATCCGGAACTTACTTATCTTCACTCTCCTTGTCATCTCCTTGCATCTTTGTTTCATCATCATTTTGCCTTTTGGTACCTTCACAAACTCCTTTACGTATTTGCATCTTCCGTTTTCTACAAATTAGAGACAATGGAAAATATAAAATTTTAAAATTTAAATTTTTGATACACAAACCTAATATTAAAGGTAACAAAAAGGATACCATTTTGAGCAGCTTCTTCTTCTAGGTTTGTGTTATTTAGCAGCTGCATATATAATGTAAATTTACAAAACATAAGTCATTTTGTTCAGGAAATGTTTATCAATTATTGCTGTAATTATTTCGTGTGTTACTGTTATGTAAGATAAAATACCTTAACCAAACTGTCCATTCTTTTTCTCATCCTTCTCTGTATGTACCCTCTCGAACACTAATTAACCAATAAGAGGTTGAGAAATTTCAATTACAAGAATACAAAATATATTAAATTTCTTGAAAATAATCACCATTATTAATGTACCTTGATATGGTATTTAACGTATGCGTAGAAATTTAGTAAGTTCCAAACCGTTTTGTCTAGTCTCTTTCCTTCAACGTGCCGTGAAGTAATATCTGCAATAAGAACTATTGTTTGAACTTTGAACTTCGAGAATACTATGTAATTAAAGAGGTTTGATTAATTTAATAAACAGATAAAAAGAAACAAAATGTACCAAAAGATACAAAGCCAGAATTGGTGGTTAAGTCTTGAACCGGTTCTCCTCTAAGTTGGAGAGGAGGAATTGGTGACCAACTACATTGTGGGGCTTTTCCCATTTCCTTTTGGCTTCCCACTTCCACTAGTTCCTTTTATATATATTGTCCAAAATAAAGTTTTCAACATAATATGATAAAATTTGACAAAGAAAAACTTAGTGTCTCAATGCAAAAATTCTCTAGTTCCACCCATTGGAAAATTGTCTTTGAGAACATATATGTATGTATGCATTTTAATTGTACCTGGAAGAATGACGTGGCAATGACCACATCCGAATTGTCTTTAAAATTCATCGGAAACACGGCCGTGATTTTCTTCATCTGAATAAAACATTCAAGACTTAATCTTATAGTTATATTTATTCGATAAATTTTAGACGTCGATCTCTTACAAATCACATTATTTAGTTGGTAACTCAGATAAATGAATAAAATACGGTAAAACAAACCTGTTTAAAGACGTAAAAAGGTTCACTTGGGTGATAAACAATCTTGATGGGCCTGTTGTTGTTGTTGTTGTTATTGATCGGTCGTGAATCATCTTGAAAATTCAAATGTCTCAGCATCTCTTTTAGTTGGTTACTCAATATTATCGCTTGTATTTCAGAAATCTTTGTAATGATTTTAATCGCTTCTGCATTTAATAGAGTAAAAATAAAAAAAACTTATAACTAAACTAGCGGGAAAAAATACATTTCAATTTTTTTACTATAAGCTTACCTTTTCCACGTGGTATATTATCAAGGTGAATACCAATGGTCAATTGAAACCCTAATCTTGGTGGATCAACAATATCAATCACACCAACTGCAATATTCTTAATCACCTCATAAGTCTGACTTGAAATCTCCTTCAATGTCACCGCTCCTTGTGTCTCAAGCAACGTCGACGTCGATACGTGGACAATACTTGGATCCGAAACCGAGTACTGGATGGCGGATGCGCATGCAAATCATATATTTCGTCATATATAGTTGGAACAGTAAATATAATCGAATAATTAAGTATGAAATTATTATAAGGGAAAGGAAGACCCAAATTAAAATGCATACCTTGATGTGATATTGAATCGAACCAAACTCGTGGAAATGTTGATCGACCTCAATAGGTTTTTCAGCACTGCCATGGATTTAAGTACAATAATACATTTATTATTTTACTATTTGGTGTACCTATGTATGTTGTAATGACTCACATTAGAAGTGAAGATGAATCTAGGATAATATATGAACCTCTAGCTACACTTATTAGTAATATGAAAATTCATGTTTAAACAAAATAAAATCATCTTGATTGAAGCTAAACCGGAAAAGATTGTTAGGTACGGAGGTAGCCATACCGGGAATGAAATTGGACCGGAGACTTAAAGAGAGAGATCACTAGATCAGAGAGAGGGGTCTTACCGGTATATCTTGAGGAGTGTTTCTTTCAGCGCTGGAGATGCTCTTTCGAGATATGCCATTCTTGAAACAGCTCGATCGGAAGAAAGTTATATTAGAGGGTAAAATTATGATAATTTATAACTTTGGTTTGTCATCAATTTTTAACTTGTAGGTATGTGTGTGGAGTCTTAATTAAGTGCTTTTTTTTTTGTATGTGCGCGTTGGTGAAATATTAGAGGTTGAGTAAAATGTCAGATTTAATCCGCAATCATTTTTAGATTGTTTCTAAGCAAACCACTCAATATTGTGGCTCCATAATCTACCTGTGAGCCCAAAGAGAGTTTTAACTTTTAACGCTCTCTCAGCCGTTGGATAAAGCTGTGGAACTGCTAGACGCCAATTTCCACGGTCGCATCATGACAAAGAAGGAATCTGATGCTTTTTCTTGGGATTAGAAAACAGAATCTAACGAAGAACTAGACTGCGTTTTAAAAAAAAGAACTTAGAGCAAGCCCAATGGGGGGGTTTAGAGTTTCTTAGAGCTAGAATCCTTAAGAAAGTGGTCCAATTTAAATCAAAAATAAGAAATAAACTTAGGAACGGACCTTAATTAAGGTTTTTTTTGGTTTTAAAAGTCCATACGTGTCAATTTCTCATTGGTGTGTGTTTAATGAGAAAACAACCAAATTTCTTCAACTTTCTTCATTTCGCGATTTAGCTTTCTCTCTCTATTTTTCTTGTAAACTCCGATGGCGATCTTCCATGGAGACACTCGATTTTCATCAGGCGTCTCAAGCATCAAATCGTCAAAGAAATTGGTCTCTTCCCCTATGTGATCATTATCTCCTCCGACGGAGCTCACCATCAGCGAGGTCGGTGAACCGAATCGGAGAGTTTCGGCTTCAAATCTCAGAGATTTAGGTGAAATCAAACCGTAATCGCTTTGTGAAGGTATGAATCTAGCTGTTTGATTGTGTAGATTATGATGATTTAGGGTTTTATTTAGATTATATCGAAATTAGGGTTTCTGGAATTGGGAATTGATAGAAGATAAATTAGGGTTCTTTGATGTAAACGCAATTAGGTGGCTTTGAATACATAATCAGTCTCTTTTTCGTTCTTATTCATGATTTAAGATGATTTTTTTGCCTTTAGATTGTTTGTTTCCATTCGGATTTGATTTCAAGTTAATCTATGTTTTGTTTGTCTCTCTGTTTATATGAATTTGATATTAAGTTGAATTTATCTGAATTGAATTCATCTTTAAATCGCATTTGCTCTTGATATGTCTCATTGTTTTGATCTTTACATGTCTCTGAATTGATTTTTTATCGATATTGGGTTATTGAATACATAATATGAGATTAAAGTGTTGTATTTGATCTTGATTCGTGTAAAAAAATCTGCTGATCCATCAAAGTTAGTGATTTGTGCCTTTTCTTTGATTTATGACCTTTGATTGTGTGGTTTCTGTTGCAGGAATTGAAGTTTGTGTTTCCTAACTCTCAGAGAATAAAACGTGGTGGTCAGGTATGTGTGTTGTTCTGGCTTCTGTACTTTAATCCATTTCGAAGTAATTTAAAACTTGATTTCAAACTCTATTAAACATTGTGTTTGTGTTTGTGTTTGTGTTTCCTAATGTAATTTAAAAAGTAATTGAGTCTGTCCAATTATGCAGACTAATATAAACCATCATTTGAGTCTGTGGTGCCCAATGTTTACTTGTGTTAATCGTTTAGATATATATGTAACCTGACTATACTCAATTATAATAGCATTGTGAGTTCAGTTAATGGTTAAAGTATGAGTTCAGTTTAATAGGTAAAGAGTTCAGTTTTTAATTGAATGCATTGTGATAAATGATTATGACTTGTTGTAGGTTAAAGTCTGAGGAGTCTAAATCATAGTTATTAGTATGTCATTGATTGCTTCTCTTTGATTGCATCTCTTCGATTGATTGCTCTCTGTGATTAGATTAGGTTAGATATGATCATTATCATAGTTATGATCTCTGTTAAAGTAGGTTAAAGTCTCTGTTATCTTGCATGGTTGAGAGTAGGTTAAAGTGTATGGCATTCATTGCTTAAAGTTAACAGCTAACCATCACTACAACTTAAGACTGAAGCTTTTTTAATAGCTTCAGCTCTAGTTAATTCAAACCTAACCATATTCCCTCCTCTTTGACATTCGCAACTCTATTAAACATTGAACCATAATCCTCTTTTCTTCATTGTCTTCTTAAAGCAAAAACCACAGCTCTTATCTTCTCCTTTTAACACAAACCAGAAACATTTTGATATGGATTCAAGGAATCCATATACCAATCCTTCAAGCTTTTTAAACCTCTTAAGTTCTCAACAAGATAACCCCATGCCTCCACCAAATCAGTATGCTGGTTTTTCATTTAGTGCACCTTGGATTGATCCAAATCAAGCTCCAACGCCTGCTGAAGAGCCTGTTGCAGACCGCAAATCAAGACGTAAATGGTCACCAACAGAAGATGTGAATCTCATTAGTGCCTGGCTCAACACCTCCAAGGATGCTGTTGTCTCCAATGAGCAAAAAGCCACAGCTTTCTGGCAACGCATTGCAGACTACTTTGCAGCAAGTCCCAAGCTGAGAGGTCTGCAAAAGAGAGCTCCATTATGCTGTAAACAAAGGTGGGCAAAGATAAATGAGGGAGTCTGTAAGTTTGTAGGAAGCTATGAGGCTGCAACCAAACAGCAGACCAGTGGCCAGAATGAGAATGATGTGGTGAACTTGGCTCACCAGATCTTCTACAATGATCACAAGGCAAAGTTCACACTTGAACATGCTTGGAGGGAGCTTCGCCATGATCAGAAGTGGTGCGGATCATCAACAAGTAAAGACAGTGGGTCAGCAAAGAGGAAGAGGTTTGAGGACGGCTCTGCACAGGCCTCATGCTCTATGCCAGTCAACATTGACGAGGAAGAGCCTCGTCCCACTGGTGTTAAGGCAGCCAAAGCCACAGCCAAAGCCAAAGCCAAGACAACAAGTCAAATTGGAGATGAAGACAAGACTCTGAAGGAGTTACATTGTATCTGGGAGATAAAGGAGAAAGATTTAGTTTTCAAAGAGAAGCTAATCAATGTTATGGAGAAGCTTAGTAGGACTAAACTGCTAGACACTTTGATGCTAAAAACAGAGCCTCTAACTGACATAGAGATGACTCTTAAGAACAAGCTCATAATGGATTTGTTGTCCTAAGCTTAAGTTTGTTTTTATGTTCTATTTAAGCGAAGTATGTTTTAATTATCTGTTTTAAGTTTAACTATGTCTTTAGTTTATGTTTGAAGTATGTCTGAATGTGTTTTGCTATTAATGAAATGATTTCTGTTTAAGCTAAGTATGCTTGTCTTCAACTGAAACTAAACTAACTTGAATGTTAACTTAAACTGAATGTTGACTTAAACTGAACTAACTTGAATGTTAACTTAAACTGAATGAAGTTTGTGGTTCTGTTTTAAGTGTAAGCATGTTCTATTAATAGTCTTAAAGTTTCTGAATGTTTTGTGCTTCTGTTTTAAGTTTCTGCTTTGTGTATGATGTTTTTATTAGATGTGTTTGGTCTGATGACTTCTCTTATTAACAATTATGCAGGTGAGCCAAGTAAGAGACACATGTGACACCAATGCTTTTGTGATTTAGTGCCGACTTCACTTGTAATAGACAACAGTGAGACAGAGTTGTTTTGTGTTTTTGTGTCGACATCTCTTCTACACATGACACCAATGCTTTTGTATTTTTGTGCCGACAATATTCAGACTTGTAATTTAGTTTGTTTGATACTTTTATTTTCAAATTATGTTTCTTTAGTTTCTCTTCATATTTAAACCGAACACTCCTCTTCTTCTTTCCCAAAACAATCTTATTCTTCTTCTTCTTCTTCTCCAAAACAACATATCTCTTTTCTCCAAAACACTATTTCTCTATAAAACAATCGTTTGGGGAAAACAATCTTAATCTTCTCCTTCTTCAAAACACCATCACCAATTCTTATTCTTCTTCTTCTTCTTCTTCTACAAAACACTATCTTTTTTTCTCGACAACAAATTCTCTTTTTTACTACGATTCATAACAAATTCTTTTTTAGAAAAATGGGATCTTCTTCAAATTATAATCTCAACGAAATGTTGAACGATAAATTTGATCAATATATCGACGAAACATTAGAGAATTATGGTGATCGTCAACAACAACAAGTCAAGAACAAAAAAAAACGAGCATATATTGAAAGAGAGCGTGAACAAGGTCACATCCAGTTATGGAACGACTATTTCTCTGAAGATGCAACATTCCCTCCGCATATATTTCGACGCCGTTTCAGAATGAACAAGCACTTGTTCATGCGTATTGTTGATCGACTCTCCAATGAAGTTCCATTCTTTGAACAAAAAAGAGATGCTACCGGAAGGCTCGGTTTCTCGGCACTACAGAAGGCTACAGCAGCAATTCGTATGTTGGCATATGGTCATGCGGCTGATGCGGTTGACGAATATCTACGAATTGGTGAAAGTACTTCGATGTCATGTTTACACCATTTTGTTGATGGAATCATCTATTTGTTCGGAGATGAGTACTTAAGAAGACCCACACGAGAAGATCTTATACGACTACTCCATATTGGAGCGGGACGTGGATTTCCCGGGATGATAGGAAGCATAGATTGTATGCATTGGGAGTGGAAGAATTGCCCCACAACTTGGAAAGGGCAATATACACGTGGATCCGGCAAACCAACAATCGTTTTAGAGGCTGTTGCTTCCCAAGATCTTTGGATATGGCACGCGTTTTTTGGACCTCCAGGTACCTTAAACGATATAAATATTCTTGATCGATCACCAGTTTTTGATGATATATTACAAGGTAAAGCTCCGAAAGTGAAATACGTAGTCAACGGGAACCACTATCATTTGGCTTACTATCTCACAGATGGCATTTATCCTAAATGGGCTACATTTATCCAATCTATTTCTATTCCACAAGGTCAAAAAGCTTCTTTATTTGCTACAAATCAAGAGGCTTGCCGCAAAGATGTTGAACGTGCTTTTGGAGTTTTGCAAGCTCGATTTGCCATTGTAAAAAATCCGGTTCTAATTTGGGATAAGGTAAAAATAGCAAAGATTATGCGAGCATGTATAATTCTTCATAATATGATAGTAGAGGATGAACGAGATGGGTACACTCAGTTTGATGTCACCGAATTCCAACACCCGGAATCAACCACATCTTCACAAGTGGATTTCACATACTCTACAGAAATGCCTTCAAATCTGGGTAATATGATGGCCACTCGATCCGAAATACGAGATCGGACTAAACATGAACAACTGAAAGCTGATTTGGTTGAGCATATTTGGCGACAATTTGGCATAAACTAAGCTAACGACTACTCGTTATTCCGTTTTTTTTTTGTATTTTTTTTTTGCTTTTATGCTTTCTATGTTTAAAATTCTTAGGAATTTGTAATATTTATTAAGTTTTATCATATAAAAATGTTTATAATTTTCCATTTTTAAAAAAATATATTTTTTTTAAGAAACCTAGTTAAGAACTCACCATTGGACAAAGAAAATTTTAAGGATTCATCAAAATTTCTTAACTTTAAAATTGTTGTAAAGTAAGATTAAAATATGTTTAAGGATCCTTTTAAGGACTCATTCATTGGGGTTGCTCTTATAAATCTTAATTTTTACAAAAAAAAAAAACAAATATATATAGTTCATTTAAAATTACTGATCTTAATTTTTTTGAGGTGGTAGAATGAATGTTTTTTTGAAACCGCATAGTCAAAACCCTATTGTTAAAGAACATCAATGATTATTTTTCTTCTTCTTATGTGGACCTTATCATTAATTAGAAAGCAATACTTGAAATGTAATCCAAGCTAATCCAATGAACATTAAGCGTCGGTTTCACACGAATCGTAATCTATTGACTTCACCAACATTTATATCACCCCACGTATTAATTCACTGTTCTTCTTTATTTTTGGTGTGGTTTGCTTAGAGTGAAAGAATGGTTATTGTAGAGCCATAAGTATTTATAATTAAAAAAATTATATTATTATTTTCGTACATTAGTAATAACTTAGTAAAATGTGCCCGTTATCTTTGTTATGACTTATGATATGGCCATTAATAATATTCAAATTTCAATTGATTTTGATAATACAGCTTGTAAGATAACCCATTGAACTCTAATTACCTCTAACTCTTTTTTTTTTTTTATAATTAAAAACACACATAAGTATTCGTAGTCACAGAAAAATACACATATGCTAAGATAACAAGACCTCTACCAATTTGTTTTAATTATATAATTCTATAAGTCTAAATTGAATTTGTCAACATTTATGAAATATTCAAAGCTTATTAAATTATATAACTCATCAAAGCTCAACAAGTTGTAAAGTATATGAAGTAGTAAAATATTGCTCTTTAACCAAAAAAAAAGTAATTAAAAATTGCAAGTTTGCTAATTAATTAAAAATGATTAGTCAACGGCAAAAGTATGAATGATCTCATAACGAGATTACCTACCGTTTAATCTCATCTACAAAAAAAAATCTGGCGTTAAATCTTAGCCGTTAAATCCTATTTAACGAATTTTCTTTTCAGACACTTTCTCGGCACCCAATCAGAATTCAGCTGAGAGAAACGCGTCTCTCAGATTTCAATCCTTCACTTTCCCTTTTGTTCTTTTTTTTTTTCCTCGTTATCGGATCAGAACAAAAATTTGAGAAATTCGAGATTTTCCTGGATTGTAGGATTCGATTCTTGTCGAAATTCAATATGGGTATTTCTTGTTTATGTTAATCGTTGTCAAAGTTTTGATCTTTTCCCGAGAAAATTTGAGATTTTTCCGTTCGTCTAATCGAGAGAAAACGCTACCATTTTACTACGTAAGTAATGCTTTTTTTCATTTCCAGTTTTCTGATTTCGTATTCTGATCTTGATTCATGATCCAAGCGTTGACTTTGATATATTAAAAACTTACAAATTCAGATTAGGGTTTGTTAGATTCATGTTTATCTTGTGTTCTGTATCAGGATCAAACTCAAACCCGAAGCGAAATTGAGGTTAATGGTTAGGGTTTATGAATGATCAGGTGGGTTTTGGTATTTGACATGATTTAGGGAACAAAAAGATCTCTCTCTATCTTCTCCAGATTGTTTAGAGCTTTGGGTCTACTTTCCATAGATTGATTTTTATAAGATTTGCTATGGATACTGCTCGTGGAGAGGGTAAAGAAGCTAATGGATGTGAGAATAAGGCTATAGTTAGTCTAAATAGCAGTGAAATTGAAGATCAAATCTCTGAGGAAGAAGAAAGTGAGTCACAATGTTTATTGCCTCCAAGGAAAGGAGGTATGTCGAGAAGCAATGACAAGATTAAGAGGACTGTGCAGTGGAATGACAACAAAGGAGACAATCTTGCTGAGGTTTTAGTTTATGAACCAAGGTAATTTCATCCCTAAGAACACATTCTCTCTTGATTGTTTATGTTCTTTCAAGTTTTTTTTTTTCACTGTAATGTGATTCTCTTCTCTTTTATTTGGTCTAGCTCTTGCTTAAATGTTAATGATATCGCAAATGCGAGATCCATATCGTAAACCTTAGGTTAGTATTTATTTGGCTATTTCCGTGCTTTTGGAGTGGTCTTCTTGATCTTTGACTGGCGGCCTTTTTGTTTAGGGATGGTTTCCATAGAGAAAATCTTGTAGTTGCTCAAACCGTTTCTCATGATTTGTCAGCACTGACCTGGAACTCGTTTAGCTTACTATTTTTGTTGATGAGCCTATAAGAAACAATTTGGCTTGCCTTTGTAATGTAGCTGATAATTTTTTTAGCGTTTGTGCACCTATCTGTGGCAACGGTTTAGTGCACTAACTGATAGACAAAACAAACCTGTAAGCCTGTTTCTCACTTCAATTTGGGGGTCGGGAATCTGAATTTAGCAAAGAACCATGATGATAATGTACTTAATACAACTTTTTCCTTTGACCGGTCTAGAAACATTAACGAAATCCGTCGAAAAAGCTTGTCGAAGTCAGATTACCGTCGACATCTTTTTGATGTTCCATATTGGTAGTCCCTCTATTATAGGTCCAATAGAGTAGTTATCTTCTGTTTAAGAACTTACCCTCTTACATTATTGTTTGTCCCCTTGGCAATTCAAAACAACTATATATCTCACGTCTGCCTTCATTTTATGCTTGCAGCGAAGTTAGCGATACAGAGGACGATGATTCAGATTCCTGCATCTGCACAATTATGTAGTCCTCCAACCCACAATCAACCACCATTAACATGGAGTTTAACAATGAGCTCGTCCTTGTATCTGACTTCTTTTCAGCAATCAGTTTTTGTGAGGACAGACGAACGAGAACTTAAACGATTGGACATCACAATCATGCAACTGTCTGATTTTTGTGCTCAGGACTTCTGACAAGAGGCCAGTCCGAACAAGAGATGTAGACTCATAAGCTATATCAGATTGTCTCATCTCAGTGACAGGAGTGAGTATATAGATTATTATTACTGTATTGTTCAATAGAAGCTGATCTTCAAAGCGAAGATCTTTGAGTGCTGTTTGATTTGACAGGTTCTGATAGTAAACTATGTATGTGTTTCTGCAACATACACACTTGTTATAAGTATAATATGCAGCAATTCAATATTTTTTCTCCTCTTTTTATAGTAGTTGATCCAAAAACGTTGAAAGATCACAACTTTATCAAGATTTAGTTGCAGAAACAATAACCCGAAAAGGGAAAACCGATACAAACCTCCATCCATACACACAGAAAGAATCAGAAATGGTACAAAGACAAACAACAGAGCACACTTATTTTTGTTTCTTAATCATTGTGATACCTTTTATCTGTTCTCCATGTTGGTGATATCCACAATTGGGGATCTCTTCGACGAACCATTCCCATGAAAACTCTTTGGTGAGGCCAACCAATTGGAAAGGCTAGTATTAAGGATTATCTCCTTCAGTAGTGGTTTTTCTTGATCATCCATATCTGCTTCAACATTCTCTTTCATTACCCGTCTAACTCTCACCGGCCTTGCTTTAACTGCTTTCCACTGAGCAAGATTCTCCACTGGATTCAAAAGAGGAGTCACGTCCTGGTCCTTGTCTTCTTCTTCTTCATCTTCATCATCAGCATCATCTTCATAGTCGTTTTCATCATCTGTGTAATAGTCTTCATCTTCCAAATCACTCTCTCCATAACCCATTTCATCTTCATCCGCAAAACTATCAACACAATTGTGGTATCTATAGTTTGAAGGATACACAGATCTACAGCTCAGATCCTCTGGTTTCTTGTTGATAACCGAAGATCTATTGCTTCTTTCTCCTATCCCCTCTTCATCATCACTGCAAGCATTCTCATAATTAGAAAGTAGAATAGGTTCATAGGTTTGTACATTCAAGTCAAATCTGACTCTCTTCCTCGTCTTCCTAGTCACCTTCTCCTCCTCCACTTCACCCCTGACACAGAAAACAACATAAAACAGCCATTTTAACCGGTTATCAGATTGGTGATCTCAGATCAAAAACAAAGTTTCAGTTTTTAAGTAAATCCAAGTCTCTAAGGGATTGTAAGCGGACCTGAGGTTCGAATTTGAGATCTTTTCAGGGCTATCTAAAAGAGTACTGAAATCTGTCGGATCTGAAGAAAGTAGCGGTTCATAGCTACAGATTCTCTGCAATAAAAGTTAAGGTTCAAATCAGAGTAATCGAAAAAAACCTAAACTTTAAAGAGAGAGAAACAAGAAAGAGTGGTCTTTCAAAAATGCTTACTTGATCTCGAGGAAGGATCTTCCTAATGGAGTTTCTGCGTTTTTTGTTGGAAGAGAGACCGAAACAACCCATAAAACATCCCATTGGTGGTAATGTTTCTCTGTTTTCGGTTTTGATTCTTGAGAGGAAGAAGAAGAGAGGTGTGTTTGTTTGTTTACTTTTGTTGGCTCGTTGATGTGTTTTGAATAGAGGAAATAGGAACGTTGGGATTTCAAACGGATGAAAGTGACGGTGGGCTCACGGAGTTTATGCCGCCGTTTCTTTATGAAGAAGAGACAAAAACAACTATTGGATTCCTTCAACATTGTTTCAATTTATGCCAAGAAGTGAATATTTTTTAATTTGTGCCAAATAAAAGCATTTATTTGTTTCTTTCTATGCATTAACCAAAGCAAGATCATTGTGATTTGTGAGTATAAATAAAATGTTAAAATTATTTCAAACATTCATTTTGTTTTCTTTCCAAAAATTTAAACCCACTAATCCAGGCTCAATGGTTTGTGTTATTGGTCTTGCGGCCCATTTTTAAAAATTTGTGTCTAATGTGCTTTTTGGCTTTTGCGGTTTCCAAATACAAATTTTGGCCGACGTTATGCTTCCTAGTTCAACGTTCACTCTACAGCCTACAGCACTGGTGCACAATTTTTTTTTTTTTTTTTCTGCCAAATGTTCCATTATATAAGGAAAAAGTACATAGTTTACGACATACATTCAACAGACCCAAGAAATTATATAAGAAGAAAGCTTTTGACGAGCCTGTTTGGCTAGATTATCAGCCATTACATTTTCTTCTCTACCAACAAACTTAAAGCAGTAGCGACCTTTAGCCAAAGCAAGTATATCTTCTATGTAGTTTTGAATCTCATGATTGCCTGGTTCAGGATGATGTTGATAGTGCCGGTCCGGTAAAATCCGAGGCCAAATACGAAAAAAAAATTGAGGCCTTTTTAAATAATAAAAATTGCTAAAAAATTTTTTTTACTAATTATGAGATCTTTATAATTTTTATTTATAAATATTTTTAAAATTTTAGACATTGTTTGTTAATTTTGAGACTTTTTTTACTATGGGATATTTTTTGTTAATTATGTGTTTTTTTTTACTAATATTAGAGTTTTTTTGGTTAATTTTGAGGCCTATTTAAAAAAAAAAAAAAAATTCTCCACAAAAAGGCCTCAAAAGTTTGAGGCCCCATACAAATGTTTCTCAAAAATGGGCACAGGGCCGGGCCTGGATGTTGAAATACAGCGGTGCACAAATTTTAATCACCGTGTGGCACTAATAAATTTACACGTACATAACAATTATGATTATGTAAAAACAGCTTAAATTAAAGTTTGATTTTAGAAGTTTTAGATATCACCAAAATATGAAAATATCAGGCTATAAAAATGTTGATTTGCAACTTCCAAATTTTTACATCACGTGATATCTACAGTTTTGAATAAAATTGTCCGTACAGCCAATATAATATACTAGTACTATTTTTTTTAAAAAACTAGATAAGGCCCACCTAAATAGACGGGTATAATATATAAATATAAATTGGGGAGACTCACAGAAATACCCCTTTTTCAATACCCCTTTTCAAAAATGTCCCCTTTGGCTGTCCATTTTTAAAAATACCCCTTTTTATGTACAAAATGACTAAATTACACTTCTTTTAATAAAATATATCACAAATATATAAGAAAATATAACAAAATTAGGTCCACAAAATACAAAATATTTTTTGGCGGGAAAAGTGATCCCGCAATTTTTCCCGCTAAAATACTTGTAAAAACTTGTAAAACCTTTAAAATACCTTGTAAAATTTTCCCGTAAAAATTTTTCCCGCCAAAAAAATTTTGCGGGAAAAGTTATTCCACAATTTTTTTGTCGTTAAATTTTTGGCGGGAAAAATTTATAAGGTATTTTAAAAGTTTTTTACAGGGTATTTATAAGGTTTTACAATGTATTTTAAAAGGTTTTACAACGTATTTATAAGGTATTTATAAGATATTATAAGATTTTACAAGCTATTTTATAAGGTTTTACAAGTTATAAGGTTTTACAAGTTTTTTATAAGGTTTTACAAGTTATAAATACCTTATAATACTTTATAAGTACCTTGTAAACACTTGTAAATACTCTGTAAAACCTTTAAAATACCTTGTAAATTTTTTCCGCCAAAAATTTTCCCGCCAAAAAAATTTCGGAATCACTTTTCCCGCAAAAAAAAATTTATGGCGGGAAAAAGTTTTACGGGAAAATTTTACAAGGTATTTTAAAGGTTTTTACAAGTGTTTTGGCGGATAAATTACGGGATCACTTTTCCCGCCAAAAAATATTTTGTATTTTGGGGACCTAATTTTGTTTCAAATAAGGGTAAAATGGTCATTAAAAATTAAAAGAGGGCAAACTTAAAAATGAACTCTCAAAGGAGGCATTTTTGAAAAAGGGTATTGAAAAAGGGGCATTTTTAACAATTTCTCTATAAATTGTTATCGATGATATTTGAATTTTGATTAATATAGTAATCCATTCACTTTCCCTAATATTTAATAATTTAGTATTTTTTGTTTTAAATAAAAATTAAATCTTACACATTCCATTTTTCTATACATTTTAACTATTTATTTCATCGTAATAAACTGAATTTTAATTCTACAGACTCTTTCGTATTGATGATATTTAAAATCCTAAATAGTAACCAACACACATTTTCTATATTTAATTTAGTATTTTTTAATAAAAAAAAAATTTAATCTTACACACTCCATTTTGCAATATAATTTAACTATTTATAACATCACAATAAACTTGATTTTAAGTCTTCATAGTTCATCTTAATGGATAAACGGCTAATAATAATTTTGTATCAAAATCGTATATGTATCATATCAATTTTGTATCAAAATCGTATATATCATATCAAATTTATATCTTAGTTAATATTAAAAATTTAAATATAATTAACAAATAACAAACATTTAATAAAAAATAGAAATCCACAAAAGTTATGGAAAACAAACATTGTTTAAAATATAGCTTTCTATATAACGTAATCTCATAAGTTAGTTTTACCTCATGGCAAACTAATTTTAAATAAGTTAAAATTAATAAATAAATCATTAAAAATATATATATTAACATTCTCGTTAAGTAATCAAAAATTCAATCATATAAGCCATTTCCCCAAATATTTTTAGTTTATAATTATGACTACATGCACTAAAATTCTTAAAATAAAATTAAGTATAACCACACTAATTTTCTTGTCAAATATTCAAATATTCGTTCGTTTTTATAAGCTCATTATTTTTTTAAAAGACTTTGTGTTTTCATTTGACGAATAAAAACACTATATTACGATGATAAATACAATTTTATCCAATTAAATTAATGTTAAATAACTTGTATTGTTATTTAAAACTTCAACCGTTATTATTTATTTGTTAATATCCATACTAAATGATTTTATAGAAAACAATTAACACATGCCAAATTTAATTGACCAATAACACATGTGAAGAGAAATTGTTAGTTTTATTTTTTGGTTAAAAAAAATAAAGTTAACAAATTTTAAAAATTAGATATATAAATTAGTATATGTAAATATTCTTTTTTTTTTAGTTTTCCTATTTCGTTAATGAAGAAAGTTAAATACTTTTTGACACATGTCAACATCTGATCGATAGACTTGACACGTTTCACGATCATGCGAGTTATTAACTTTGAAAACCATACTTTATATAATAAGATTTTTTTTGTGCTAAATCAATATAATGTACGAGTACTATTTAATTCGAAGTTTGAACCTTATCTAGCATGGGATATTGACCGTCCGATTTTGACCACTATAATCGTACACCGTTTAATATTCTTGCTCAAAT